ACATGGCGGCCGGGCGCCTCGGCGACGCGCAAGGGAGGGGCGCGCGCGGGGCGTCTGACGCCATCCAAAGGGGTCGGGAGGCGCATGCGCGGAGCGCAAGCCGGAAGTCGTTGGCCGAGGAGGTGGGGGAGGTGGCAGTGTGGCGTCAGGCCCGAGGGAAACGTGACGTCACAGGGGCCATCCTAGGGGCGGGGAACAGGAAGTCATAAGGGGCGGGGCTGCGATGATGTCACGGGAGTGTGATGTCACGCAGGAAAGGCTGTGAGGTCATGTGAGTGGAAGTGACGTCATAGGGAGGGCCTGGGCCACGGTCATGTGGACTCGGCCTCAGAGACTCAGGCGATGCCAGGTCCTGGGCCTTGCCCCTGCTGAGCCCTCGGTCCTCTGCCTGAGAACTGGCAGCATGGGAAACTGAGGCACCGCCGGGAGGAAAACACGGGTCCTATTTCCAACCCCAGTCCTGGCCTGGGCCACGTGTCCCTTCGAAAGCCTGCCCTGTGCCAAGTCACTTTGCAGGGCTGCACTTCCGAAAGGGCCATAGGGTGTGGTGAGTCCCTTGGGTGCGCTGTGCACAGCCTCTCGCTGTAGCTACACGTTCCCAAAGGGCTCTCTGCTGGGCTTTTCCACCAGGCGGTGTCCGTCCCTTTCATAACATCAGACACCCCTCATTCTAGCTGCACTCTGCACATATCGGCAGGGGAGATTTCACATGAAACTCTCTTCCGAAACCTAGAGGATTTCACACACTTAAGTGTCTAAAGACTCCCAAACTATGACCTTCAACTCACTCTGAAACTCCTGACTGCATTTCAGTTCAGGATTTAAACTCTGCTTCCCAAAAATGCACCTGCAGCTTTACTTGGGTATCATGGTGTTGTTCTTCACATCGCTCCCATCCCACACTTCTGTGGTGTTGTGTGCTTTTTAAAACACCTGCTGTGCTCCACCCCAGAGCTGTCTGCAACCATATAAAGAGCTAGTGCCTTTCGTGCAAGATAAAGTTCTGTCTTCTAGAGCAGCTAGAGTTGTTGAATTTTAGTGATGCATGAAATAATCCCTGTATCAATTTCTTAGTCAGATGTTTCACTATATCAGGATTAAATATAATTATTCTTAATGAAGTGGATAGAAAACATCATTTTTTTTTGTTTATTCTTCAGGGTGCCTGCACAGGAACCAAGAGATGCAGAATATGCAGCATCTCTTTGCCCTGCTGATACTGTGGCACATACCGGTTTGCCTGCTGTTGAAGGACTGCGAGTGGAAAGTTGAGCTCAATGAATTTGATAATCTGGGTGGAGACAAAGCTGTGTTTTTTAGACAGCACCCAGTCACTAGTGTAGCCGCTGTGTTCCAGAATCTCACAGACTCAGCCATAGACCTGAATGACAGGAATTCGGTGAGTGAATTTTTCAGAAAGCTTGAGGGGGGGGGGAAGGGGAATGAGGAATATAGAACAGGGCTTGATTCTGCTCTCATGTTGACATCAGCTCTGATCCCGTTGGGCTCCATGCTCCACTTTGTTGCAGGTAAATTTACAAATCAGCAACGTAAGAATAACACTGCTTGAGAACTTACCCAAGCTTGGTTTGAGGCTGTGCATGTTGCATAGTTTGGCATGTGATGCTGACAGTTTGTGTGTTCACGTTTCAGAGGGGTAGCCGTGTTAGTCTGTAACTGGAAAAAAAAAACTTTAAAAAACAATGACTCGTCCTGCAGCACTTTAGAGACTAACAAAAAATCTAGCTGGTATCATGAACTTTTGTGGGCAGAACCTACTTCTTCAGATGAATGGAGTTTAAGGGGTCCAGGTTCCAAATAAATAGCAGACAGAACAGCTAGAAAGTTTTAACTTTTTGAATCCCAGCATCTACTGTCATGCAGTAATTAGTGATTGACCCACCCTATTAGCTGGCTTCCTGCAGCTATGAAAATGTAAATGACTAAAAATAAAAAACCTGCATAAAATAACCATCTGTATTATCCCTCGCAATGATAACCAAATCAAATGCAGATTCTGCCAAGCCTGGTTTTTGCGCTGGGGGCTCCTGGGGTCTGTCCAGCCACTGGGGAAGAGTGTGGTAAGCTGGTTGGATCGGATGTATTTGCAGCTCTGAGAAGCAGAGTGGTCCATGGCCGGAGACTGAGAGTCAGGGTTTGCAGGGTTTATTCCCTGCTCTTCAGATGCCTTGGGCAGTGTGGTAGGTGTGACAGACCAGGCCGTGTCTGGGCACAGCTTAGGGCGTCCGCTCAGGGCGAGTTGCTCAAATCCGGGGCTCTTTACAGTCCCCCTGACTGGCGACCTCTCCACACAGGCCACAAACCAGTCTCACAGAGCGCTTCAGCTGCCTGCCTGAAGCCTCCCGAGCAAAACCCCTCCGACACCCCAGCAATATCCGTGCCCCAGATGGCCCCGGGCCTATACACAGGTGGGGGGGCCTAGCACCCAATCCCACCTACCCCGAACAAGTCCTGTCCGGTTCCAAGAAACCAGCCACAGATCCCTGGTCAATTTACCCTCTGGATCTTACCCACAAACCACGCTGGGCCAATCCTTTAGAATCTAAAACTAAAGGTTTATTAACACAAGAAAGAAAAGCCTGAGAGTAAGGTTATTAAAGTACAGTACGTTACATGCACCGAATCTCCCAGTCCTCGATGCAGGCTCTAGCAGAGATGTTGCAGCTGCTGGTTAAAAGTCCTTATTGCACATCCTACGATCAGGATGGGTTCACAGGTCTTCCGGGCTCTTCAATCCCTGCAGTGCTGCCTCTGGGATGAAGTGCTGAGCTGAGAACAAAATGGCATCGACCACATGGCCTCTTTATACTCCTTCCTGGCCTCTTCTAGTCTGCAGCAAGTCACCTGGTCAGAGGCCAATCTCTATTTTTTCCTGCTGGCTGCCCTCAGGTGACAAATCCCATTCTTTGGGTGTGTCCATAGCCCCTTGAGAACCATTGTTCCACAGGGCTTTGCTACTCAGCCTGTCCATAGCCATGCTTAACCACATTCACAGAAATATTCAGCTTCCACACAGATTACAGATTCCTACCTACACACACAGACATTATACACTCACATAAATAGTGTACATAAGATCAACAAACAATAATTTCCCATTCAATACCCCACATGGCTCCCCCCACACCAATTTCTGGGGCCAACACCCCCACCTAGGGGTGCAGCAGCGATCTGGCTGCTTCCCTCCAATTCAGCAACGTGACAGTAGGGATGGTGGGAAGTGGATGGAGAGCTAGCAGCTGATTTCATCTCAGCCCTGCAACTTGTCTTTGAACTGGAGGGAAAGTCCCAGATAGTCCCTGTCACTCCAAAGTTTCTGAAAAGTCTGCTTCTCCTTTCTGACAGCACTACCTGGGCTTCCCGTACTACCTGAAAATAAACCTGACCTGCACCACTCAGGTACAGTAAAGAGAGGTCCTTGCAATTAGAGTGTGTGGCCGCAAGGGTCTTCGTATACAGCCAGTGCTTTTTTGTGACGGCACCTCCAGATGCAAAACCAGCACCTCCAGTCAGAGCTTACCTGGAAAGAACGGAGTGTACCGGCACCCCTTTGCGCTAATGTCCGACAGCTGGCTGGGCAATGTCTCAAATGGCAATGCCGGCTCCTCCCCGGGTTTTTTGTTTTGCTCAACAACTTTTCCCCTGGAGTACCGGCACCTTTCTTTTTGCAAACAAAGCAGGGTGTGTGGCCACGGCTGGTTTTGAAACTCGATGGCCGTAACTGTGCAACTTTTATGGTACAGATTATGGATAGATTAATTAACACTGGAAAGATTTGCTGTTTTCTTTATATGGCACTTTCAGAGTAGCCCATGACTGGACTCTCACACGTATAATCTTTAACTGTCAGAACTGCAGCCACTGTGAATTTGCTATGGCCACAAAAATTCAGTGGCAAACCGTGATTCCAGAAATGACTGAAAAACCAGCCCCACCTGGTGTTCGTTGGAGGTATCTGGCTTAGGCCCCGTCTGGTAGAAGCGCCTTGCTGGCATAGGAACACAGGCCAACAGGACTGGAGAGGCAGTCCTAGTGTGGAGGCAGTGGTGCTGACAGAGCTGTGGTTTGTTACCACCGCCAGCCAGGGAAACAGGCTGCAGTGGGAAAGGCCTGAGTTTGTTGGTAGAGCTGTGTCTGCACTGGAGATGTCTGCTAGCCCGACTCAGTCAGAATCACACCTCTTCACCCGCATGGCCTGGCCTCAGGTACTTCCCTGGTGTCGGCGGCTGCCTTATCTGAGCATGTCTTCATCCCCACAGCACCCCATGAGGCAGGGAAGGGCTATTTCCCCCATTGTAGCGATGGGAAAACTGAGGCACGGATCAGCTAAGGGACCTGCCCAGGGTCACATGAGACGTCTGTGACGGAGCCAGGATCTGAACTCATGTCTCCCAATTAAGTCCTTTGCCCAGTCACTAGGCCCCCTTCCTTCCCTCATCTAATGTACTTGTATCTGTCACTCCCAGAGCACTTTGCCACTGAAGGGAAGTGTCCCTGTCCTCGTCTCACGGGGGGAAACTGAGGCATCAAGCAGCAACTTGTCCCGTGCCACTCAGCAAGGCAGCGGCAGAGCAGGGAGTTGGCTCCAGAGTCCCAGGCTAACGTCCCCCCTTCCAAGAACGGCACTAGCAGGCTTCCCACTGAGATTCCATGGGCTCCTCCGAGCTGATGACGGCTGAGCCTCCGCAGCCCCTCAGCATGGCATCCCCTCTTCCCTTCCCCCAGGACGCGGCGATGCTCATTCGCAAGGCCCACCTGACTGGGCTGAGGCCCATTGTGACCGTCACCTTTCAAGAGCCCGTCAACATAGGGCACTGGAAACCGGAGCAGCTGCAGATCGAGATGAAAGCCGCCCCTTACCAGCTCCAGGGTAGTCTGCCTCTGTGCCATTGCCGTGCAAATCCCGGGGTCCCTATGGCTGGGGGCCCAGGGCTGCCCCCTCGGCTGCCTCAGAGCGCCTCTGCTCTGGGGCCGAGAGACTAGCCAAGGATCCGGTGCCGCGTTAGCTCCCTTTTGGGGGTTGAGATGGGACTTGCATGACCCACCAGGTTTTGTGCTGAGCCCCTAACCCGCCCTAGGAACCCGCCTGGAGAGACCGGAGTCCGGCTTCTTGCCTTTGGTGGAGGAAGGGAGAGCGGGGCAGGCGCGTGGGGAAGCAGCAGGAGGGATGGGGGAAAGACGGAGAGATGGCTGCCTGGCTGTGGCTGCATTTTGGTGAATGCCAAGGCCCCGGCGTGGGGGGCGCTGGCAACACGGGAGGGGTTGGGGGTGGGCAGAGGAGCCCGGGAGAGGGACTCCTGCAGCTAGCATAAAGGACCCGGATGGGGGAGCAGGTCAAGCCTTGCTGCCCTCCCTCCCCTTCGGCCCCAGGGCATGCCAGAGTGCACCAGTCGGCCTGGCCCCCAGGCTGGCCAGAGGGCCCTGTCCCAGGTCGTGCCTCTGTCCCTCCGCAGGGCCGTGTGGCAGCCAGGAGCTCTGCCGCATGTGCTGGTACACGCCCATGCCCATGACCAACTGGAGCGTGGTGATGAAGGTGCTGGTGAGGAGCAACGGCCTGGGCTTGCAGGTGGACAGCAAGAGGTGAGGGGGCGGGCGTGGCCTGGGCCCTTTGCTCCGCTTGTGCATCGCTCCCTCCCCCCACCAGGGCCTGCCGAGGGGCACAACTGGGCTTCTGCCCTTCCCCCCTCTGGGTGGGCTCCGAGGCAGCCGTGTGAGCGCTGGACGTGGAGCCCACGCACGAGAGAGGCAGGGTCGCCAGGTGTCCGGCTTTAAACCAGACACTCCGGGATTTGAGCTTTCTGTCCGGGAAACAAACTGAGAAATGTCGGGATTGTCTGCTGAAGTTAGTTTTCTTGTGAGTATCGGTACGGAGTTGCTGCTGCCTGAGCGCGTCTAGCAGGCAGGCAGTGCGCAGCTACGCAGGAGAGAGCCGGGGCAGGATGGAATCCCTGGGGCTGGACTCGCTCGTGCTCTGTCGGGACCGTGCGCAGGACGGGCAGCACCCCGGGATCTGTGGGCGCTCAGGCCAGCCCCGCTCCCAGCTGCCGATTCCTTCCCCTCCCGGCCAGCCCTGCTTCCCGTCATCTGGTTCCCTGCTCCTCCAATCTCCCCCTGCCAGCCCTGCTCCCCCTGACTCCCTCCCGGCCAGCCCTGCTTCCTGCTGGCCGGTTCCCCCCTCAATCTTCGCTTCTGCAGACTAAACAAACCCAAATCCTGGCCAGCACAGCTCCCTCTGGCCTCATCTCCCTCCCTTCCCGCCCCCCCATCTGAGATCAAGCGTGTCCGGTATTTTCTTAAGCCATCTGGTAACCCTAGAGAGAGAGTGGGGAGGGGGGTGTATGCAGATGGAGAGACAGATGGGGTGGTGGTGGTATGGAGATAGATAGATAGATAGATAGATAGAGGGGGTGTGTGGGGATAGATAGATGGGGGGATAGATAGATGGGGGGATAGAGTGGGTGGATAGGGACAGAGATAGATTTGGGTATAGATGGATCTAGCTATATAAGGGGATAAATAAATGACAAAATTATTCTTCTCCTGATGTACTAAGTATCCACTTACCCTGGGTACCTCTTTCTTTTCTTTTCTTTTCTTTTCTTTTCTTTTCTTTTCTTTTCTTTTCTTTTCTTTTCTTTTCTTTTCTTTTCTGCCTCCCTGGACATGTACTCCTGTCTGTCCTGGGCATTTGTCCCACGCTGGGATTAAAGGGGGGTGGTACTCAGTTCCCCATAGGGGATACGAGCCTCCCTGTGAGGAATACGAGGCATCCTGCCTTTCTGCTGTAGACTAGCGCATACCGCTCAGAGCCTAGTCCGGGCTGGGCAGTGCTCAGGGCTCAGTCTTAGCCTCGCCATGGTGCTTCTGCACAGCATGGACTGCTCTTCACAGCTGGTGATTTTAAGGCAGCTGGCCCCCTGTGGAAAGGAAATGGGATCTCCCTGGATGGGGGCTGCCCTGCCCCACCCCACATGACTCGATCCACGCCCACGGGCTGCGTGGAACCCCTGGCCTGGCCACTGTATTGGACAGGAGTCGGGGCAAACAGCCTGCTACAAATCCCTTTCTCTTTGCCGCTCGTAGGTTTTCTGTGAACATCAATGGCTATGTGAAGGAAACTGAGAGTGGTGTCCAGTATTCCGTGGGACGGAAGGTAAATTGTGGGAAAGGGCTGGGCTCTTACCTCATGTGGGTGAGGATGGGATGAGCCCCTAGAGAAGACGAGAAGGTTTAAACCGGAGTAGGAGGAACAGCACCAAGCTCTTCTATGGTGCTTTGCATCTGTAGACTGTGATGGACGGGCCGGGTCTGGGCACAGCTGAGGGTGTTCACTCAGGGCGAATTGCTCAGACTCGGGGCTCCTCACAGCCCCAGACTGGAGACCTTCCCAAATAGGTCACAAACCAGTCCCACCGAGCGCTTCAGCTGCCAACCGGCCTGCAGGAGCCTCACGAGCAAAACCCCTCAGACATCCCGGCTCTTCCTGTGCCCCAATCGGTCCCAGGCCTGCACACAGGTGAGGGGATATAGAACCCAACTTCACCTACCCCGAACGGGTTCTTCCGGTCCCAAAAAACCAGCCACAGTTCCTAGCTCAATTTACACTCTGGACCTTACCCACAAGAGCACGCTGGTAATCCTTTAGAATCTAAAATCGAAAGGGTTATTATTAAAAGAAAGAAAAGCACGAGAGTGAGGTTGTTAAGGAGAATGCATTACATGCAGCGAATCCCCCAGTTCTCGACGCAGGCTCTTAGCAGAGATGTTACAAACTGCTATTTTAAAAGTCTCTGGTTACATCCTATGTCAGGACGGGTCCACAGTTCTTTCCGGTTCGTCGTTCCCTGCAAGGCTGCATCTCGGATTCAGAGCAAAACTGAAGACCAAAATGGAGTCTGCCACATGGCATTTTATATCCATCCTGGCATCCTCCTGGCCATAGAAGGTCACATGGTCCATCGACCTCTCCTTGTGTCCCTAGTCAGTCACTTTCCTGAGGTGTGTCCTGGCACCTAGAGATCCATCGTCTCCTTGCTAACTAGCAGAGCCATTGCCTGCGCATTCCTCGCCCATTGCTCAGCCAGACAGAGAATTGTGCAGCACCCTGGAGTCCATGTTCATAATTCCACACACAGGTATTATACAAGTACGGGACTAGAATAGACAGAATCAGCAGCGCAGAAGCTTTCGTTTGACACCTCACATGGCCCCCTTTGTACCAAGTTTTGGGGCAAACACCCCCCAGGGGTGCAGCAGTGATCTGGCTGCTCCCCTTAAAATCCAGTAACGTGACATAGACCTCCAAGTGCTTTCTCCCCATTGTAGAGACAGGAAACTGAGGCATGGAAGGGGGAACATGGCAGGCTGAGCAGAGCCAGGAATAGGTTCTACATCGGCTGAGTGCCAGTCTAGGGCTGTAATCACTTGGCAATGCTGCCTGTCTACCACGCCTGGCTGGACGTCTGGCCACTTATCCAGGCAGCTGGCTGGTGCCGATGGCCATGTTGCCAGAGCTTCTCGGCTGCTCTTGGTCCCCGTGCCAGCTAAATCAGAGCTGGCTGGGGTGCTGGGCAGGCTATAGCCATGCACTGCGACGGACCCTTCGCCCTAAGAGCACTGGTGCAGCCACTCTGTGCCCGTGGGAGAGAGCTCCCCTGTGGCCGGCCAGAGCCCCCCTTGCGCCCCACCTTGCAGCTCCCCAGCCCTGTGTTCTGCGGCTGCCCTGCTGAGAGGCAGGGGCTCCGTCTCCCTCTGCACCAGGGCTCACTTGTCCCAGTGACTGGCTTTGCCAAGGGGCTGGCCCAGCCAGTCCTTTTACTGACCCCTTCAGGCTCCGGCACGGCCCTGAGAGCAAACAGGCCTCCCACCCACCTGGCTAGTTGTCTGACATAGGAGGGAAACCGAGGCACGCATCGGCTTCAGAAAGCTATTCCGGACCCTTCCCACTTTGGCACAGCAAAGCCGCTCGGTCTGCACCCCGCCACGGTGCTCTCTGTCCCGTGGGGCAGAGAAAGGGCTGGAAAATCTGAGCCCCGAGGGAAGGCTGGAAGAACTGGGCGTGTGGTCTCCAAAAGAGGAGACCAAGAAGGGACATGACAGCAGCTTCCAAGTGCCTAAAAGGAGGAGGGAGAAAATTCGTTCTCCTTCACCTCTGAGGCTAGGCCAGGCGGCAAGGGGCTCACACTGCAGCAAGGGAGGTTGAGGTTGGACATGAGGAAAAACCTCCTGCCTGTCGGGGGTGAATCACCGGAACACACTTCCCACGGGGGCTGCGGAATCTCTGGAGATCTTCAAGAGCAGGTGAGACAGACATCTGTCAGGGATGGGCCAGACGGTGCTCGGCAGGGTGAGGGCGGGGGGCTGGACTCGACGCCTCTTGAGACCCCTTCCCATTCTAGGATTCTATGGGGCTGGGATCAGCCCCCCGTCCTGCCCGGGCAGGTGGGGAGAGTTGTGGTGTTGGGGCTGCGGAGGGCGTTTGGGGCCCTCTCTTTGGGGCCAGGAGGAGAGGTGGCTGTGGCTGGGAAGGAGGAGAAGGCTGCTGGCCTGTGCTTTTGGTCTCCCCTACATTTGGGGGTGCCCATGGCAGGACGCTTGGCCCCGCTGCTCTAGGTCAGCACGCTGAGGAACCTGATGTTGCTGCGCAGCCCATCCCGTCCCATCTGGGCCACCTTCAATCACGCCCCCGTGCTGCTGCTGGGGGGATTCTCCGCTTACAAAATCGTCCTGGTGTCCGACTCGGAGTTTGCGGATTTCACCTTCTTGGAGGTAAAGGGCCGGGATGGGGGTGGGTCCCTGTGCCAGGCGCCAGGCGCAGCTCCCTTCTCTTGCCGTTGAGGTAGGAAGGACGTGGGGCAGGTTTTCCCCGGCGCTGGCAGGCCCAGAGGGCCGTGTCGGAGCCCTTGTCTGGCGCAGTGTCGTGTGCACACGCTCGCAGTGTGCCTCAGCTGGGCTCGGTACGAGAGCGGGACGGGAGAGTGAGGCAAGAGTCTGGGAATCCGGACTCCTGGGTTCCATTGCTGTGCCTGGAAGGGGGGGAAGCCTAGTGGTGAGAGCGTCAGGACGGCTGTGTTCTGTTCCCCGAGCCAGGGAGGAATGTGATCTAGTTGGAAGAGGTGTGTGGTGAGACAGCCCTGCACACGCTTCCCTGTATGCTGGGTCTTGGGCGGCAGCCAGGAGAGATCAAATGTTGCCCAGCTGATTAGCAGAGCGGCCACAGCCACAAGCCCTGGGAGCTTTACCGCGGATTGAAATGGGAGCGGGGTCGGCCCCTAGCTGAGATCAGACCCTGGCTCACTGCCCCTCCTCTCTTTGCTTCAGGTGGGGGTTGACAACTGCTGGATCGGGTCCCTCAACTGCCCCGTGTCTGTGTTCTCCTCTGCCATCTCCGACACCATCGCCACGGAGCAAATGCTCTTCGCTCTTCCTCCTCCAGAACCAGCTGATCTACTCCTTGGCTGGGAACTACGCGACCCTTTCGCCTCGCCCGCCGGGGACTGGTAAGGGCAGACGGAGGCTGGGAGCCACGCGACCCTTTCGCCTCGCCCGCCGGGGACTGGTAAGGGCAGATGGAAGATCGGAAGCACGTCGCGCTGTGGCCGCGGG